TTATTGATAATTTAAATAATAGCATTTGTACAGCAATTCTAGAGACTGAAAAACAGATTATCCCAAGATCCCATGGTGGAAATAGGAAAAAGATTGTACTATGTTGGACACAAGAATGTGACAAAGTTATTAAATCTTGAAATAAAGCGTCCAAATTGTTAAGAAATCATAACTTCCAGAATTTAATTGAATATAAAAAATACAAAGTGAAGTACAGAGGACAGTTTAAAGAAAAAAATGAGTTTTGGGTAACGTTTTGCAATTCAATTGGAAGGGAAACTGATATTAGTAAAATTTGGGGAATGATTAAAAAGATGAATGGTATTAATAAACAGTATTGTTATCCAGTTTTACAAGATAATGACAGAACAGCAATATCAGACCAGGAAAAGACAGAAATGTTAGGAACAAACTTTAGGAAAATTTAGGAGCCAATTTAGGAGGGGTGAGACGGGAGAGCAGGAGTGAGACAGGAGAGGAGAAGTGAGATGAGAGAGGAGACGTGAGATGGGAGAGGAGAAGTGAGACGAGAGTGGAGGAGTGAGACAGGAGAGGAGGAGTGAGACAGGAGAGCAGGAGTGAGACATGAGCGGAAGAGTGAGACATGAGCGGAAGAGTGAGACAGGAGCGGAAGAGTGAGACAGGAGAGGAGAAGTGAGATGAGAGAGGAGAAGTGAGACAGGAGAGGAGGAGTGAGACAGAAGAGGAGGAGTGAGACAGGAGAGCAGGAGTGAGACAGGAGAGCAGGAGTGAGACATGAGTGGAAGAGTGAGACAGGAGCGGAAGAGTGAGACAGGAGAGGAGAAGTGAGATGGGAGAGGAGACGTGAGATGGGAGAGGAGAAGTGAGACAGGAGAGGAGAAGTGAGAAAGGAGAGGAGGGGTGAGACGGGAGAGGAGGAGTGAGACAGAAGAGCAGGAGTGAGACATGAGCGGAAGAGTGAGACAGGAGCGGAAGAGTGAGACATGAGCGGAAGAGTGAGACAGGAGAGAAGTGAGACGGGAGAGGAGACATGAGATGGGAGAGGAGAAGTGAGACGAGAGTGGAGGAGTGAGACAGGAGAGGAGGGGTGAGATGGGGGAGGAGAAGCGAGAGAAGTAAGACGGGAGAGGAGAAGTGAGACGAGAGTAGAAGAGTGAGACASGAGAGGAGGGGTGAGACAGGAGAGCAGGAGTGAGACATAAGAGCAGGAGAGGAGGAGTGAGACAGGAGAGCAGGAGTGAGACTGGAGAGGAGGAGTGAGACAGGAGATGAGGAGTGAGACATGAGCGGAAGAGTGAGACAGGAGAGGAGGAGTGAGGAGGAAAATGTCAGAACATTGGTCATTTAATTTTTGACTTTTTGACCTTTAGCCATCACTCAAGTAACGTGTCTTCAGAAATGAATCGAAGGATTTGTAAAGAGAAAAATACTTGTGTGCCAGCATCTTTTCTTTGTTTTAATTATCTTTTGAGTTAAAAGAAATGCACATCAAGTTGAGCAAGAAAGGCTGTGTGAATGCTCAATCCTTTGTTGATGGAGCTGAAACTGAAGCTGACAGCTGGTCCAGTCCAGCCTGCTGTTCACATGGACCTGTACATTTCTTTTATGCACAACCTGCACCTTTTTCCCAATGKTGATGACAGAAATATGGTGAAATAAAGTTTAAAAAGAGCAATATTTTTGAAGAAATTTTAGTGTTTTTTTTATTAGTGATCTTGTTTTTATAAAGTAAAAAGTTTTTGAAAAGAATAAAAGATATAAAAACCAAATGTCATAGCACCATTTCCTGACTGTTTTCAAACAAGGATGATTACAAAAGTATAAAATTAAGACATGGTCATTTGCTTAAAAACTGAATTATGAAGCATGCACATTATTACAATAACAACACAAATAATTTGATTTCAAATATTGTAAAAATTAACTTTGGCAGATACAGTATGTAGGGGTAACGTAATTAACGTAACATTTCACTTTTTATGTCAGAAAACTTAGGTTAGAGGTATGTTGCATAAAGTTTGAATTTTAGCCACAGAATGTCATTTCTTCAGGGTTTTCTTATAGGGTGATGATTAATAAAAAGTATTGATGTTTAAAGTTGAGAATCTTCACTTGATATTGAAATATTCTGAAAAATGTTTGTAAAAACAGAAGTTTTAGGAAGCCTCAAAGAAGTGTGACCTGGGATTGAACACGTTTTGTGGAAAGCATAAACAATTAGTTTCACCTGTTGCTGATAGCTTAAATTAGAAAAATGTAATTAATAATTTAATTTCAACAGGACTAATGAACTATGGGCAACTAAAATGACTCCAAACTAAGAAGTTTTTAGTGGCTAAAATAAATAAAGGTYTCTCTAATCTAATCTCTAAATATATGAACTTAATGTAATTGAGAGACTTATGAGGAATGAAGAGGAGGAAAAGTTTAGAGCAGGTAAATGACGCAAATAATTAAGGAAAAATGAAAGCCTGAAACTTAACACAGGAACCACAAGACACAAACCTAATAAGCATAAACTGCTATAAAAACAATCACCTACTTAAACGTAAATGGTTACTTTTAGAGTCAACCCTTTTTTAGATGGCTACCACAGCTAATAAAAATAAAGCAATTAAAAAAAGATATAAATTTTAAACATTGAACCAAAACCTGGTGTTGTATTGTAGCTGAGAGTCACTGACAACACATGGTCTGATATGACATGAAATTATGAATAATGTTATTCAAATTAAAGATTTGATCTAAACAGTTTATTCTCAGCTCAATATGATCTAAAACTGAAAGGTGGCGGTGAAATGTATTCCTTCTGAGGATCTTTACACAGAAACTCAAATAAATACAAAGATTTGACTTCTGAAAGTTGTTAGTTCTTCAAATCCCAAATTTGAGTTCATGGGTTTTATTTTGAAAATGATGTATTTTTTTTCATGGTTCCCGGGTGTTATATTTTGAAAGTTTGAACCGGAAGCTGGATGTCGCCGTGCTGTGTGCTGGTGGTGCTGAGGAGAGAGCATCATTTCCGGCTGCTCCCTCACGCAGAGAGGCCGACGCGATGTGTGGAGTTACAGAGTTAATGTTTTTATCATCTTTACGCGTCTTTTAAAGCCGTCTGCTCTCCGTCTCCTGGCCGTCGCGGACATCCCGACCTGATGGTGGATTTGGCCCAAAGTGTCGCAGCGTCGCCCGGACTCTGCAGGCACGGACAGCAGGGCTGCGGTTCCACTAACAACGGGAGGAAACCGTCCAAAAGGTCGCGAACGAGACGAGGCAAACGAGGCAGAAGACGGAGGACCAAACGTAGCAGAAACAATAAAACACCACCACCGTTTCTGCCGCCGGAGGTAGGATCCCCCTGGTCCCGGGATTAACGGGACATCCAGCCGGCTAATAGCTGCTAGCTTAGCGCTGCACCACAACACAGCTAGCTGCATTTAAATCAAGTTTCACAAACAAACACCTGAAACATGGCGACAAAATACTCGTATTTTATACTCCACACACTACTGTTCGTTCAAATCAACCATTTCCAAGACACAAGTATGAGGTGCCGTTTGTAAAGTTACACAGTGAAAAATTACCACCAATATTTTTGTTTTATTTAGTCTTTTATAAGAAAAAATAACAGATTTATTTTTCAAAGACAGTTCTTCACCATATTATTCATACATTTATAAATGTCATAGTTATTTAACTTACAAATTAAACATTTAGTTAACAAGCTAAATATTTAACTTGTGACTTAAATATTTAGTTTTGAGCTAAATATTTAGCTTGAAGTGGAAGTGGAAGAGAGACGAAACGTTTCATTAAAGAAGAACCCGTCCAGAGGACCTATACAATTTTTTTTCCTTTGATTTTTTACCTGGATTACTGAGATGCATCAGGATATTTAGCTTGAAACTTAAATATTTAGGCAGCTAGTTAAATTTGTAAGTTAAATATTTAGGTGGCTAGCTAAATATTTAAGTAAAAATACTTAGATGGCTAGCTAAATATTTAAGTTGCTAGCTAACTATATAAGTTTCAACCTAAATATTTAGGTGGCTAGCTAAATATTTAAGTAAAAATACTTAGATGGCTAGCTAAATATTTAACTTGCTAGCTAACTATATAAGTTTCAACCTAAATATTTAGGTGGCTAGCTAAATATTTAAGTAAAAATATTTAGATGGCTAGCTAAATA